TGGCACAATATAGCTCTTCGGGGCAATATGATAAAGGAAAATGATATGGCTAATATGTTTGTCTATCTGATAAGTATAATTTTGGTACTCCAGTACTAGTGGATATAATACGAATAAGATAAATTTATATGTATACATAAAATAAAGACATGTTGAAAGGCATAAAATGAAAGAAGTATTAAATATATGAAATATAAAATGATCATATAAAATCATATAGATATAAGTGCACGACTACTTTTGCATGACATTGTACTGTTTAATTCTTTAGTTACCTATTGCTCAATTTCATATTAAAGCATGAATATTAATCTTTGTTACATTATAATTGCAATTGGTAGATTTACTTAATACCTGATGAGTGTTAGCTCACTCCATAGTTTTTGGTGTACTGTTAGGAAAACCTGTTAATCAGTAATGATTGATGGACCGTCATTCATCTACCTCCGTAGGGAGTCGCTGGGTGACAGGTTTTTTTTGTTATTTTAATATTTTGTAATAGATGAACACATAGGATGGCATGTGATAGAGGGACATTTATTTTTGTAACAAACTTTTATGTATATGTTTATTAATGAAAGAAAATATTGTTTAGAAAGGTGTTGCTCTTCTTATTTAAATTTTGAATAATTGTTCTATTATGTTACGTTGAAAATACTTCAAAATTTTTGTATGATTGTCTTATTACGATCCGTCCCGATAAGCTCATGTGAATGAGGAAGGGACGGATGTCGGACAAAGAATCTGGAACATTTCAATGTAACATTTTTAATAACTATCCAAATAAATGTAAGAAAGTACCACTAAAATTCCAAACAACAATTTATTTTATTTATAAATATGTGCATAAATTTTTTTATAAATATAGATGTCCCTCTATCACATGTCATCATATATGTCCATCTATTACAAAACATCAAAATAACAAAAAGAACCTATCACCCGGTGTCTCTCTATGGCGGTAGGTGAATGACGGTCTATCAGTTATTATTCATTAATATGTTTTTTTCGAAAACATCCCAAAATTCAGGAGTGTACTAACACTCATCAGGTATTAAGTAACTTTACCAATTTCAATTACAATGTAAATAAGATCAATATGCATGCTTTAATACAAAATTGAGTAACAAATAACTATAATTAAACTATATCTATATGACTTTCTATAACCATTAAAAAAAAAATAATCATTTTACATTTCATATGTTTAATACTTCTTTCATTTCAACTTGTCTTTATTTTTTGCATAGATATACATTTATCTTATTTGTATTCTATACACCCGTACCAGAGTATTGAAATTGTACTGATCAGGTACACATACATATTTATCATATCATTTTTCTTTATCATATTGCCCCGAAGAGCCATATTTTGCCAAGGGCACCATATTGGTACTCCGCCTCAACATGCACAATTTCACATGCAATTATTATCATAAGATAGTTGACTAACATACATATCAATCATATATTTTTAACTATCAAATTTTTATACAAGACTACTTGAACATACTTTTTGAATTAAAATGTGAAACTTTCTAACAAGCCAATATACTATTTTCATGTACAATAAAAGAATTAACATGCCATTCTAATGCTAAAACATATCACGGTGCTAACTTTTAAAAGAGCATAAAAGAACATGGAACTTGGAAGGGTTAAATGTACCTACCTCAAAATAAGCAAATGAATTTCCGAAATACGTCTAAATCGTTGTTTTATCTCGCGATGATCTCTCCTTATCATTTTCCTTTCCAAAACCTAAGGGAAAAGACTATCATTAGCTCAAAAGATTTATATTCAATAGTGCACTCCCTTTATTTGATTCACAATCTTTAAATTTTCGGTTTTTCATAAAAATCCTAAAATTGGAAACTCAAAATTTATTATTTTCTTCTCATGAACATGCAAAGACATCCCCTTAACCTAATTAGACTTTAATTTAATTAAAATTTTGGATTTCTTTAATTCAAACTTAAGAAACATAAAGTTTTATACAAAATTTTGAATTTACCTCATTAGAACATTCCTAAAGTTCTTAGGAATAAGATTTGCGAAAGCACTTTCATAGAAATTATGTTTTGGAAAAAACCATAATTTGAAAATCTCACAAACTCTTGAATAAATAAGATTTAGGGATTGTGTATTTCATTGAGCATTTAGCTCAGTAGTTGATATATTGGAGAAAAGGGAAATGAGCTAGTGGGGCTTTAAGCAGGAGATTGACTACCTCGTGTCATAATTGTTTTGAGTGCCTATAGAAGCTTGATCAATAAGCTGTAAATTAAAGCTTTTGAGTTTCTAAAATTTGATTTGGAGTTTTAGTTAGGTTATGTATGTTATTTTGATATATAATGTGCATACTTCTAAACATAAATCATGAGGTATAATTTTATGGTTAGAATATATTTGTGTTGGTATAGTTCAAATAGATTAAATTCCTACTTACTCGATCCTGATGAATGTAGTTCATGATGGGTGTTAGTGAGAAATGTATTTGTCTAGATTTTTATTTTATGTTAAACCTCAGGTTGGTTGAGATGGGTCAATTGGGGTGTGATAGTTGCTCGGGTGGAGTTCTGAGATTCCTCGAGTCTTATAGCTCTTTTCGATCTCTAGCCCAGGTCCAAGTCTCCCTTTCTTGTGGGGAGTGAGTGATGTAGGCAGGGGGGGTCAAAACATTTTGGGATTTTAATTTTGTGAGTTTTCTTTATCAGCTCATAAATGCTTTTCTTCTATTTAATTCAGCTTATAAATTATCTTTAATTAGGTTCATTCCCCCCTATTGTCCCTTGGTTCTTCCCCCCTTGACTGCCTTTGCCTCTTCCCCTTCTTGTGTCTCAGTTTTTTCTTTGTGTTATTCCCGTGACTGGCTGTTGGGTGCTGGTTCCGATTCCCTATGTGGGCTTTTCGGTTTCTCCCCCTGGCTGCTTTCCTGTGGCTGCATCTTCCTGGTTTTTGTGTTGGTTTTTCGGGTTCCTCCTTGGTTGTGTTCCCGTGGCTTCTCTTACTCGGTTCCTGTGCTGATTTTTGGGAGTTGTTTTGTGATAACTGCTGCCCTTCCTCTTCCCCTTATCTGATTGGTTCGGTTGGAGGTTGATTTTGGTTGTTTGGCTCCCCTTTCTCTCTTATAAATATTAGGTGTTTTGGCAAATAAAAAAAAGGTGTTATGTGAGTAATTTTTGTATCCAAAAACCTTAGGGTTTTTCTTCTTTCTTGGAAAAGCTTGCGAGCTTGTTCCACCTCTTCTCCTCTTTATCTAGGAAAGCTTGTGAGCTTGTCCTCTATTTGTCTTAGACTTCTCATCTCTTTCTTTTCTCCGCAAGCTCGACTCCACTTGTATCCTTCTTCTCAAAGTAATGTTATGATGCAATTTTAGGTGTCTTTATTTTGTGTTTGTGTCAAAGTTTGTAAGAGTCTTTTATCTTATAAAAATAGTTGTATTTTGTCTATTTTGGGGTATTTTATGTATTTTCTTTTATGCTAGGAAGTGTTTGTTTATTGCTTGCAAAAAATTATGGCTTTTCCTAATTTTTTGCTTCCATCAATGAGGGTCTATTTATAATTTTTTTGCTAGTGAAATACTCCATAAATATGGAGCAAATCCGAAGCACTTAATCAGACAACCTATATTGATTCATTTAATCATAAATCATTTATTCAGCATTTAGGTGCCTAAATGATCTCAAAATCGAGGAATCTTGAACTCGTTGGATTCGTCTTGTAGAACCGCTCGATTCTACCAGTATGCATGCCATATTTAGAGATCATTTGGTCATTCAATTAATATCGTGAAGTTTCTAAACATGGTTCAAGATTCGATATAGGCCTATTTGGGCTCGGATTGGATTGATTTTAGTGTCGTTGGTTCGTTTCGTCGAGACGTTTAGTTCGACTATAGGTTTGCTTAAATCGGAGTTTGGATGATCCCGAATTTAATCTCAGAAATTTCCAACGTGAACATGCCTCGAGATTTGTGCCCGATCAAGGCGATTTTTGGTGACTTATCACCACTTAATCTCGTGTTCTTTGGAGCTATATATAGTTGAATATAATTTCAAAGGAATAATTCAGGTTTGCTTAGTTTGAGATAAAACTAACTACTTAAATTCATTTTGGTAAATTTGCTAATATAATTGAGATTTATTTCATATAGCTTCTGAAAATGTAATCGCTTTGTTTGCTGCAGTTGATAACGTTATAAATTGATAAATAAAATCATTGGCCTTATTAGTATGATTGGTATTTGTTAATTTGAATTTCTATTACCCTTATAATCAATTCAAAAACTCAAATAAAACAAAAAAATTCTTGGTTTATTGCATTATCTAATTTAGTAAGCTGATTAAAACACAGGCAGAAACTGATTACTATTGAAGTCGTGAAGTTTAAAAAAAGTTCTTATATGAGTTAAGGTTTAATTATTAGCATAACCTTTCATGTGCACCTTAGCAAAAATATAAAGAAAATTCGTGTTTTAGCACACGAGCCTTTTATTTTTTTCGTTTTCACTGTTTTAGTTACTTCTCTCAATCTTCAGGAGTGGACAAGAGTAGATCTCATCCTGGTGGCCTGCTTTCCGTTCATTGTGAAATTAGAGGATGCAGACTTCTCCTTCATCTGATGATTGCATTGTCACATTTTTGAACAATCAGATTCAATTTATTCTCATGATGTAGTATGTCTGCAACCTTCTATAAAAAAAAAACATTTTTCTTAAAGTTCTCCAATTGGACTTGGTGGTCTAAGGATTGCAAAGGTGCAAACAATATGCACTGATACCCTGGGAATTGTTCTGTTTTCTTAATTCTGTAGAATTAAATTCGTTTCATTTTAATATAATATGGTGCTGCTATAATTGCATTCGAGGAATTATGCTTGTAGTAGAAATCTTGGTTTAGAAAATATCATGCAAGTTTCTTTCTATCAACATGCTACATATTGATCTTTTAAAAAAGAAATACACTTTATGCTCAAGTAACTCTTACGTTTTTTCAGGTTAGCGAGGGTCTTGATTTTGCTGATCAGACAGGGAGAGGAGTCATAATCACCGGGATGCCATTTTCAATGAAGACTGATCCCAAGGTTTGAGACGAAACTAACATGTGAATTTTTTTATTAGTTCATAATTAGATTGTGATATTATGTAAAAGCTGTTGAAATTTTGTTACCAAATGGAAAAGTTTTACTCTACCTGTTTCATTTCCTTTTTTAGGTCCGCCTGAAACGTGAGTACTTGGATCAGCAAGCCATATTAAGGAAGAAAGACTCTAAGGATGTAAATATCTACTATGACTAAAATACTGGCATTGTTTTCTCAAGCTACTTATTAGCAAAAATATTTTTTTGTTCTTTTTGAACTTTAAGCTTGAAGTTATCATGCTTTCAAGCATTTGGGGCTATGACCATTCTATAAATCACCATCCTATTTTCTTGCAGGTGCTGACTGGAGAGAGTTGGTATGTGCAGCAGGCAGCAAGGGCTGTTAATCAAGCTATTGGCCGTGTTATCAGACATCGCCATGATTATGGAGCTATATTTCTTTGCGATGAAAGGTGCTACAAGAATGTATTTGTTCTGCTTCTGCAATATTATTTCCTGGTCTAAATATTCTAATGAGTGAGCCTTTAATTCAGAGCTTTAGAAATGCCAACTTGTAGTTTAATCCTAGAAGGGTGATCCCAAAAGAAATATCAACTGTAGCTTTTTTTCTTAATTATCATTGAGTTCTGGTTAGACTTTGCAAGTGATAAAATATAATTTTTGTCCAGAGAGGATGTTTCAGATGTTTTTCAACTCAAACATCTTTTCTTATTCATGATTAAGGAGTTCCGTTAAACTTTGCAGGTGAGAATACATATTTCTTGCCCAGAGAGGGTATTTTCTGATATATTTGATGAGACTGCAGCTTTAAAATAAAAGGAGTATCGACATTTTATTGTTACTTGTTTTTCTAATTATTGGGAACAATATATAGTGTACTTGTATGGGCAACTGTGTGGACGTTATATATGTTTAATGCGATTGTCTTCTTAATATTTGGACGCATGCACAGTTTGTGTGCCTGTGTGCCATCGTTATAAAATTCTTTGTAACATGGATCCTTGCTTATATGCATATTCTGTGGGACTATCTCTTCTCTTTGTATGCCTCACCCATGCTTGAGTTCTTTGTTTATGTTTTCATATCATTTGTGAAAATTAGTGCATATTGTGGGCTCCAAATATTCATGCCACGACATTGCTATGAGATTTTTGGGATCCGAGTAAAATTTTTAAAAGACAGATTAGATTGTAGAAAAAACATTACTCAGAAATTTGCCCTTATTTTACAAGGACTTTAAGATATAGTTCAAAATTTCCTATAGACATAAGCTCATCCGATTAATTATCCTCAGAGTGATAAGAGAGATTTTTTTTTTAATGTTAGTTGTTAGAAGCTAAATAGTTAACATATTTAGATTATAAAAATGTACCACCCTTAGCTTAAAGCAGTTGATGGTTGAGAATGATAATGAACTGATTAAAATTCCATGCTTATCATCTTGGATTGCTATGAACCTTGATCTACTTAGTCAGCAACGGTAGTAGACCCAATTTAGCCAAATGATTCTTGTTGGGAGCCATGGTTTGCACAGTCAAAGTGAACATTGAGCTTTCTATCATATCAGGTGCATCTTATGATGCACAACATAAGGATTTTTAAGCCATTGAAGAACTTAAAAGAGTTTTAACTCTGATCCTTATTTTATGGAGAATTCATGCTGTTAGTGTCACAACCCAACTTAACAGGACATGTCCTATTGTGTTGAGCTGTGACCAACAAATCTCAAGATTTAGTTTTGTAAATGATTCATATTCTCTTCCAATATACATTTTAAACAAACAACATACTATAATGCTACTAAAACCATGGTTTAAAATTGCGCAATATGAGGCTCGCCTTGAGACCCTCCTTTGCGCAATTCCAGTAAAAAATGCCTCGATGCTTACGCCTCGAGTTTTTTTTATGAGGCTTGCGCCTGAACTTTGTTGAGGCCTGCCTTGAGGCCCGCCTCGCCTCACTGGCATGATGTTTACGCCTCACGCTATATATATTAAAACTTACATAAATCTTGAAGTAAATGCCCGACATTGGACTCTATAGGAGAGGAGACGAAGGTTGGAAAGAGCCCGCAGGATTTCCGGAGGGGATGAGAAAGAAGCTTAGAAAGAGCCCGGAGGATTTCCAAAGCCAAAAACCACTCAGGTTTCTTTCCAAAAATCACATCATATAACATATCTAAATCAACCCAAAACATCTACTATATATAGGCAAAAGAGGGGGAACTAAACAGACACTTTAGAAGGTCAAGAGACCACCAATGAACATCCCAAAACAGCCCAACCAGCTGTCCAAAACAGCAGCCCAAGAGTCCAGAAATCCAGCCAGAAACACTAAAATTCAGCAGAAAAACTGCACAGAAAATAATGGAAAGACTCTTGGAATTCACCCCAAACAGCCACCAAATCAGTCCCCATTAAGCTGTTTAAATTCTGTCCAAAAACAGCCCAAAATCTCTTCATATTCTATATAAAATGAGATAGATGAAAGGCCAACGGCAGCCCCAAAATTGCACTGAAAACATAGCACCAAAAGCCATGGAAACAACCCCCAAATGCCACGGGACAGCCACTAGGATGCAAACCGAGGAGACAACATTACATGGGGAGGAATCTGAAGCAGCAAACCAAAAAAACTGAAAGGGCAAGGAGCAAACCGAGAAGGTTGCATGGGGAAGGGGAAGGGAAAAGTTCTATCATAATGAGCTACCACTAACCTTGAAATAAATGAGCTAAACTTTAGCTCATAATGAGCTAACCAAGAGCTCAAAATAATGAGCTAACACTAAAATAGCTCAACACCAAAGCACCTAAAAGGCCCAAACCAAGAACCACTAGAAGTCCAAGGGTCATTAAATTTTGATTTTGATTTGACCCATTCCTTGCCTACATCATGTGTTGAGCTGTGACCAACAAATCTCAAGATTTAGTTTTGAAAATGATTCATATTCTCTTCCAATATACATTTTAAACAAACAACATACTATAATGCTACTAAAACATCTACAATACTGAAAATAAATTCATCCATAAAATCTCTTTCATTTTATCAAAATATATATACAGGATCTACACTACAATACATGACTACAGAACAGAGAGCAAAGCAAAATATAACCAAAGCTAGCCATGACTGTACCCCAAAATAGAGAAATATCTATATAGACTCAAATTAGATAATGAACTGTTAATCAACATGCTTATTCCCTTTCCCATATCCTAAAAATGCAAAACCACAGTGAGCTACAACAACTCAACAAACTACAAATATTGATCTAAATTTTCAAATTATTTTTTTATTAAATATTTTTAGAATATTTAAATACAATTAAATGCAATATAAAGTGGCAAAAGAACATACATATATATATATATATATATGCGCGCGCGCGAGAGAGAGAGAGAGTGAGAGAGAGAGAGAGAGAGATTGGCATGCCGAGGGACCCACTATACATGCTTTTCTTAACGTGGTGGGAGGGAACTTGGTGCGACGCTTGTGACAAGGAGGGCAAGCCTTGCGATTTCTTAGCATGATGGGGTAAAAAGTTTAAGTACTCGTACATGCTTCAGTGCCCGCGGGGAAAGAAATGTGAATATTCAAATAGGTACCCTTGAAGATCCATGCATGCCTTTCTTAGCGTGGTGGGATTGAAGACTATGGCCGTGGTGTCACCTGACAACAACAGTGTACATCTTTCTTGATGTGGTGGTAGGCTAAGACTCCTAAAATTTCCCCTAAATGCGGGCTGGAGGTTGTCGAAATTTTTAATGAATCGATGAATAAAATTGAACCAAGTAACAAGGAACTTGACTTGGACCACATGGAGTAGAACTTAAAGCAATAAACCAGAATTTAATTCGATAAATGCATGATAAAATTGAAAATACAAGATGCTGAATAATGGTCTAAAGTATTCAAACGGACACCAATTGATGACATGAAATTTGTGCCACAATGCTTAATCAATCTTATGCAAATGGTAATATCTCCTATATGTATATACCAGAAAGTTGTAACGAACGTGATGACATGCTCAATGCATCCAACAATACATCCAACATACAAGCAAATACTTCGATTTCTCATGAAATATTGAAAGTCAAAACTTGATGAATGAAGCAAATTATCAATTAATCTGCAAGGAATGCGACACATCTACAAACAATGATTTGTTTCATGACATGTTCATTAGAAATACATGAAGGTGGTTACTAACATGCAACGAAGGTGATGATCCACTAATAGAGTGTGCTTGGGGGGGTTGTGAGGAACATGGCTTGCATGCAAATTAACACAACAAGCTCGTGGTGAATGCAGTTTGCCTACGAACAAAGGGTGTGAGTTTGTTAACGCATGCAATGACCTTACCCACGAGCAATGATGGATGACATGTACTAATAACCCACTTATAATCGACAACTATTAGTTGACAAGCAAGTATACTAATTCACTCGTGAACGATGACGGCTGATAGGTTATGAATATGAAAGTCTCCCTATAGCCTATGTCAGCTAGCTTGAAGAATACATGTAGTCCTCTATGAACACTAAAAGTCAGCGTACAGTGAACATAGTAAGCTGCTGATGGACTTGAAAGTTTGGCGATGAATGTAATTCAACCAACAGTCAACGTCAAGAGTACGAATGGGCGTATCGACTTGCATGAAGAAGGGTATGTTGCAAGTGTGACAGATCCTTTATAAACATATGCATGCAGCACGTCATTTACAAGTGAGGATAGAAGATTGTAACAAATGAAAATACTTGCGGACCCTTGTAGGAGACCCTCCATACACAGCATATGCCATATATAAATAAAATGCCAAAGGACTACAACAAGTGCAAGCTCCTACGAGCCGTCGTATGAGACCTATCATGTATCCGAAGTGCTATCCTCAAGCAAATACATAAAATCTCAAACAAGTGCAAGCTCCTATGAACCATAGCAAGAGACTCGTTAGTGCACGACAGTCTAACTGTACAAAGCAGTGGGTAACCCATAGTACGAAGCCACGCCATCGAATCCTTAATACTCATACAAGGAGATAGAATGAAATGTTGCGCACACTCAAACGAGGGTTGCCTGCATAGTTAAACGGTGCCAGATGATTTCAAAATGCCCCCACACAAGCATATCATACACTGCTGCATTAAGTCAACATGCAACATGTAAAAGATCATGTGAACATGATCAAGCACTATGCAACTACAACATGCAAGCATACATGCAAATGTGAAAGTACATACGCAATACATGTACAGATATGCTAGCACACATTTAGTCATATGATCGCACATATAAATATGCAGCTACACCATATACACATCCTACATTGCATGCAAACAGCTACCATGCAAATACATCATATGAATGCAAAACTACGCATACAAGCATGCATATATAAGCATAAACTCGCATGGGCCCTGACGAGGGTGTCATGGGTACACACGTGATGTCTGAGGATGCTACGTGGGTCAAATGATAAATTTAAGTTCGAGCCCAATCCTTATATGCGAGTAGAAAATAGTCGATACAGCTCGAGTTATCAAAAAATATGCTATCATGGTGCCGACCGAGATATTTCTTTTAATACGTTCATATTAGACCTTCAAAGCCCAAAACAAAGAAAATTTACTAACAAAGATATAATGCTAATAAACAACCTGATCCTCTATTGGCAAGTTGGCAGAGTCGATTCAGTTCAACAGACAAAATAAAAATGCTCATAAGTTATCCTTATAATAGTCGTGTTGAATGCAAATTTCAACTAGAGGGGTTAACTCTAAATATTTCAAAGCCCTTCCAAATTCCCAGGAAAATTCAAAATTTCAAAAAAATCATCTAAGATCAAAATATTTAAAATTGAAATAAACTACCAACACTTAAAGCAAAACTCATCCGTCCTGTGCAACAGTTTGCCGAGGTGGACAAATCTGAAAAGTACTTCAGCTCACAAAGAGCTAATGTCTGGTTGAGAATATCACTAGGATTCATTCTCAATCTGTTTCCTGCCTGTAAAGACTTGGCATTGGTCCTCTGATCGACAGTTTGGCTGGATGGCTCCGTAAATAAGTCGTGGTTTGGCCAGATAGCTCCACGTGGTTGACGATTTCGACAACGACTCTCTGACCTCGTGGCTTGGTTCAACGCTCCATTGTATTATGGTTACGGACATAGCCCGCATACTCCCCAATGGCTTTAAATCCATGAGATATGAATCAATAGGATATAATCGATAGGGCACAAAACCCTTTGTTAGCTAAGGTGGATTCAATTTTTCCCCCTTAGGCAAATATTCATCCAAGGTCTACAATGTTCTCTTGGGCGAAGCAACCCATGGCTGAAGACAAGGATCCTTTTTTTAGGTTAGGTCGTCTACCTCCTCGGAATGATGGAACCATGAGATCTTGATCGGGTTTATTATCCATTCTCCCACCATCTGCTTTAGGTGTAAGATGGTGAAATTTTCAATTTTAAATATCAAGTCTCAAAAAACTAAACCCATACTGCTACTATATGCTAGATATTACGTTTCTGATTGACGATTAGCCTTAATCGAAAGTTCTCTCCTGCTATCGGGCGGTGTAATTAACTATAGGGGCTTGTGCCTATAGGAAGCCTGAACTCAGATCATAAAGTCATTGCAAAATGAGGGTGAAATATTTGGGTAGTTTCTTATTTCAAACCCAATCTACCTTATGAAAATTGACCTCAGAACTTAATTCATTAAAACTTTATAGAAAGCGGAGAGGCCAGGGCGCAAATTTTTGGAGCCCACATCTGCCTTTTTTTCCTTTTGTACACCACCTCCACCAAACCTCTACTCATTCAACCCCCTCCTCTTAGCTCTCTTTATTTGTCTTCCTTTACCTTTTCCTTTCTATTTCGTTACTGCCTTCAACAACTGCAGTTGATTTTCAGGAATTCTTTTAATTTGCCAAAACTAATTTCTGTTAGAATAACCACAACCCTATCTTTCTCACTATTGATTTTTTTTTATAAATTACAGATTTCTGCCATCCATAATTTCAGCAAATAAAGCTTCCAGAAATGTAGATTTCAGTTTGTAGTTGCTGTATTGAAATCAAATTTTAGAATTCAGCAAATATAGTTTAGTTAACTCTTATTTCAGAACTTAATAGCAGCACCATCTCTTCTCCTTATTTGATTTTCAACACAAAAAACTGATTTTAGCTATTTGAAATTCAACCCTTACCTTTATTTTCTGAATTTTTTCTCCACAACTATAGCTTCACTTCCCCTTACAGCCTGCAGCTTGAGCTCCCAGGCATTGCTGAAATTCGCCTCTAGAGAATGTCGGGTAGGAAAAAAGAAATGAAAACAATGCAAAGGTTTTATAACCTTAATTTAACTTTTAGTATATAATAATAAACTAATACTAATGCTCTACCGCACATTACGACTACAACATTCCCCACCCCCCACTCCCGGCCGTGTGATTTCATCCAACCTCTACATGTTTTAAGTGGATTTGTTACAGTGATGCATTTAAATAAATGTTTAATTGGTTTCTTTCCATAAGTAATTATAGCTACAGTTAATAAAATGTACAATTGAAATGCCTATTAACTGAATTGAATATAGAAATATATTATTAAGCTCATAGTTTAAATATGGATATGCTTTCATTTTAAAAAAAAATTCATGCTTACATTTATTTTGAACATTTTGGGTATTATACTAGCAACTTTGGGAAAAGGCGTGTGAGGGGTTTGTGTATGTGCTAGGATAAAGGAGAGATGGTCATGATGAGCGAGCAGGTGCAGGAGAATAAGGGAGCAGGCAAATAGGGCCGATGTGAGAGAGAATGGCCCAAGATTACGGGTTGGGGGTATGTCTGGGCATTTTGACAGGACATTATGTGATTTTGGGGTGGGAAGATGACGAAATTTCAATGATTTAGCCTAAGTATGCAGATTTTGACGGGAATTATGATTTAAATTTTTTTACTTTATATTAAAAAAAGAAATAAATTTAAATGTGTGCTTATATTCACAAACAATATCTCATAAATCATGCAGCCCATTTTTTGTGTCATTGCCTCACAAGCGGGCCAATTTTGCATTTTGCTTTCATGCGGTGGATAGGCCAATATGTGCAGTTAACTTTGACGTTCTGGATATGTCGACATAGCTCATTTGGCAAATGGGTGATGTTTGAGTGACTTTTATGTGATGTCGAGTTAGTTGTTCGACGCTTTGGTTGAGATTGATCAAACTAATCGTAAGAGGTGCTTTTTTGGTGATTTCGATACTCCAAGCGCATTGGTCTAGTTTGTTTCACGAACGATGGCATTTGAACTACTTTATTTGTGATCAAGGCATTTTGAACTCAATCTGTGCGATGTTGTGTCCGTTGTTCACCTATTTATTCTGTTCAATAGAACGTCCAATTGAATGTCCAATCAAATCGATTGTGTGGATCCTCTCTTGGTGTTTTTTGTGCTCCGGGCATGTCAATGTTGTCTATTTTGTGAACATGCGATGCTTGAATGACTTAAATTGTGGTTAGGGCATTTCAAACGTAGTTTGCATGATGTCACATTAGTTGGCTGTCGCTCTTGTCGTTTTCGCTTGAATTGATAGTCAGACACGTACTGAGGTCAACATATTTCCTTAAACACGGAGCTGCAGTTTTTGCTGGTGACATGCAGAACACTAGCACCAATTTGATCTTTTTATTGCACTATATTAAATTGCATAAAGATCAAATGCTTAGAAAATCATAATAAATAGTTATTTGTTCACTGTTGCTTATTTGCTCTACCTTTCGGGCTTGTAATCAAATTCAATACCGTTTTGCATTAAGCCTTCTCTGATCTATGCTAGGTTTGCTCAGCAAAGCTATCAGTGCCAAATGTCATATTGGCTCCGGCCATATGTCAAGGTCAGATCATTTCGTTTTAAGTTGTAATTTGTTGTAACCTTTTCTTCTGATGGTTATTGTTACTTTGCAGTGCTACCCAAAGTTTGGTGACGTGGTTTTTCAGATGACTAGATTCTTTCGTGAAAAAGAATTTTCTATTCCTCAAAAGCGAAAGTTAACTGAAAGCCTTGTCACAGGTTAATTTCCGTTTGCTTGTTTTCTGTTTCGGTTGAAGATATTTATGTTTTTGGTGAAAGCTTATTAGTCATTCATATTGATATCAGCATGGAAGCTTTATTTTTTAATCTTTGTACTAATAATTTTTTAATTTTGTCATCTGTAGAATTCCTTTTCCATTTAGAAACCAGATGGCAGTTTTTATTGTTTCTTTTTTATTTATAAATAATTAGTAGTCTTGTTAGTAGTGCAAAGGATCCCTCAAAATCTATTTCTTCTTCCTAACTATAATTCTGTAACCAACAACCTAGCTTTGTTTCTGTTAATGCATTTCAAGTCTTTTAACTTATTTGTAATGACTCATTTAGTTCTAATAATGGTAAGATATGAGGGTTATAAGACTTGTTCCCCAACACCATTTCTTATTAGTTGTCTTGGCTTAAATTAATGTTCCATTGTAATAATCCAAAACTCATCTTAAAAGACCTCGCTTATATTCTTAGATTCTATCTCTAATATAAAAGTTAAATGATATATCTCATTGCCTCAGTGACTTCAAGTACTAATGCTTTGAGATGGATTGCAATTAATAAAGACCAATATTCCATTCCTCAGGTGATTCAATATTATCATCATCATTTTTCTCATTTTGATCTTCAAGATTCACCTTTCTATTTCTATCCAAATCATCATCTTAATTGTCATTCCTATTGGATTCAACTTTGATTCATCGAATAAACATGCACCAATTCTTGTACTTTCATTGTCTTGTTTTTGAATACTCCATATGCCATACTATAAGATCAAATCAATAAATATAGTATTATCTTATTCTCCCACTTTTGTTCTCTCTCGTGATTATTTTGATCATTAAAATTAAATAATGTTGTTCTTTTTGAATGTATTTAGCATACTTAGCAAACTCTTTAGTAGTGTCACTCTTTAGAAAAGTGTAATGTACAAAAGTTGTAAAGGCCTAGTAGAAAAGTGTTAGACCGGTCCAGCCGGTTCACGCAGGACCGGCCCAGGCGAAATAGAGGCGGAAGTTTCGCCTCTCTTGTACGCGCGTAATGCAAGTCCAAGTCCAAGGGAGCTATTTAGGAAGGATTTTTGAGGGAGTTAGGTGGGAAATTTGAATGTAGGGACTGTTTAGAGATTTCTTTTTGGATTGTATGCATTAAATAGTTTGTTTTCCTAGGGTTAGGGCATCTTGAATTTGGCTGAAATTTGAGACCTCTTAGGTTTAGGTTTTTGGGCTCTAGCGGCATCTAGAGATTTGGAAGAGATAGATCCTCCTCTCGAATAGAGGATCAATTGTATCTTGTTATTTTTCTTCCGTTAGTTTGACTAGTGCAATAAAATTACTGTTTTTCTAATTTTTCCTTTGGATTTGTGGATCATTCTCTATGTTTTCATCAAGATAGTTAGGTTTTACTTGAGAATTCCAAGTATTTCCTAACACAAAGGTAACTTTTTTTTTTTTTTTGAAAAATATTTTTTTTCATGCCCCAGTCCAAGAGGTGAGGTATCAAGGAGACAATAATGGATGCTCAAACAAAATTTTGAAGTTTGTTATACTTTCTAAATAATGTAACAATTTAAATTATACTTTTTTTACTTTACAAATAAGATTCTATTATCATAAAAGAGGACTAAATAAAAAATTTCATTTAACTTGAAGGTATTCATGTACATCAGTACATGTTGTAATAAGCATATGAAGGAAAAATATCTAAACTAAACTATACATTTATCTTAAATATACATGAAGTCATTGTGGGCTCCGAAAATTCGGCCCCGGCCTCCGCTCGCTCGCTTTTCTTTTTCTTCGGCGAGGGAGTTTTAACTAATATAAGTTCCGAGGTAAATTTTGGAAGGCAGATGGGTTTGTAAATAAGACACTACCCAGAGATTTCGCCCTCATTTTGCGAGGACTTTATGATCTGAGTTCTGGTTTCCTATAGGCGCAAGCCCCTATAGTTAATTACCCCTCCCGATCACGAGAGGGAACTTTTGATTAAGGCTAGTCGTCAATCAGATACGTAAAGATACGTGTTATCTGGCATATAGTAGCAGCATGGGTTTGAAATTTAGAAATTGGAATTTGAATGATTGAGATTGGGATATTTGATGGTTTTGGAAGGTTTAATATTTAAAATAGAAATTTCACCATCTTGCACTTAAAGCGGATTGTGGGGGAATGGATGATAGTCCCGATCAAGATCCCATGGTTCCTTCGTCCTGGGCCATCGTGGTCCCTGGTCTACTTAGTCAGAGGAGATAGTCGACCCAACCTGACAGAAGGATCCTTGTCGGCAGCCATGGGTTGATTTGTCCAAGGGGACCTTGTAGACCTGGGATGAATATTTGTCTAAGGGGACAAATTTGAATCTACCGCCGTAGCTTGTAGATAGGACTAATATATTTCAACATTGGTAGAAAAAGGATTGTATCCTCCACAATTCTCTTACTTCACCTGTGGGCATACCATACTGATTTTGTATAAATATCACTTGTAGGGATTTCTACACATGTTTGCAAGACAGTGAATGTCTGTCAAAGGTGCTTCTACACAACTTGTGTGGATCTTGTATATTGAACTGTTATCGTAATCTAAGGATCATGAAATCTTTCATTACTTAAGGGTAACTTCATGTTATCCATCATCATCATTTGTGAGTGAAATATTTCACATGTGAGTCATAATATTCACCAAAGTATTCTTGTGTATCTATTTGTGTTTTAGATTACACTTCCTTATCAACCAATGATTGCATTATGATTGTTGTTGCTCATTCAATGCTCATGTTATCTTCTTCAATTTAAGTTCCATGTGATTTTGTAAGGTTCAAGATCAAGTTCAATATGCAAGTTTGATCCAAGTCCAAGTTTGGTTTTGTTTTGTTGAAATTGATTTAAGTCCAAAATGGTTCCAAATCATTTGAGTTCCAATCCAGCAAGTTCAAGTTCTTGGTATTCAAGTTCAGTTCAAAACTCATTGCACCAATCTCCTTTGAGTTCAAGTAGTCCATATCTTGTTTTGAGTTCAAGTTCTATGTCCCCTTTACTTGGTTCAAACCAAATTCTCTTACAAATGATTCAAGTTATGTTCTATGTATGTGCTTCAAGTCCTTACTTGAGTTCAACTACTCAAGTCAAATTTGAATCAAGCTCTTTGTTTTATTGTTCAAGTCCAAATCAAAATCTCTTGCACTTTTTTTTATTTTGGGTTTAATTGTTTATTAAGCCATTTAGATTTTGTTCAAGAGTCCAAGTACAAGTCCTTCGTAGTTCTTCTGAGTTCAATCAAGTCCAGGTCCCAAATTGTTTCAAATCCTTGGATTTTCAATCCAAATTTCGGCAGCCTCCCGGCGTCTCCCCCGTTTAGGGGAAAAACCAAGAGGCAACCTCCCCCTCGACGCTACGTGAGCGCTTCAGGTAGGTGTCAAAAATGACACCGCGGTCGCAAATGAATTTTTTTATCCCCGCCTGCTACGTGAGCATTTAAGGTTTTTTTTGTTTGTTTATTATAAGAAGGAAACAAAATGTTAGAAAGAACACAGATTTCCCTCCTCTACACCACGTGGGTGTTCGGGGGTACTTATATAAAAATAAA